CCCAAAATTTTAAATCAGTAATTGCAATGTTTATTCCTTCAATAGAACATCAGTAGACTGATTCCATCCCTTCATAGGGCTGCAATGTATCTACAGCTAGGATGGAGTCAAAGTTGAGTATGTAGCACCTTCGATAGCTCAGCTGGTAGAGCGGAGGACTGTAGTGGAATGCATTCCAGATATCCTTAGGTCGCTGGTTCGATTCCGGCTCGAAGGACATCTTTTCTTTTTTGTAACTCTTTATTCATTTTGTGATGTATAGTATTATTTCCAATCATAGCAATAACCGGAACACTACAAATTGATATTCTTTCTATATTAAAACAGCCAAAAGGAACAAGCTATGTGAATAAAATGTAGCAATAAAGTAAGACGCACATAACAAATGCAATTGCTTAGTTTCACAGCACGCCATCTAGTGGCAAAAGTGATAGATTACAACGTGCTGTCATATCTCTCTGTTTCTGTTGCACCCTTGTAAAGTCGCTGCTAAATACAGATAAATAACGCTGTATACAAAGATATTCTTCCCAGGAGCCTAACATTGATCTAAAAAGATAAGGATAAACTTAATTCGAATGGAACATAAAATAGCATCAAAATAGGACATAACAGAGATGACTTCAAAACACATCAGATTCAAGCTGTGCATGAGGGGTGACTTTCATCCATAATTATGGGTAAGGTCTCATTCAAAATTTAAGGCTGCTGGGATCATGTGCGACGTACACTGTACGTCGTCAGTCACGAAGGGGTTAATGCATAGAGGTGTTTCAGTCTTTTCTGGCCATCCTCATTGTATGGAAACCACGACTTCAAAGGAGCAGGGGCTGGGCACCAGTGGGTCATTATACCCTAAAAGGTTGTGGTGAGAGAGGAATAATCCTTTTATTTTGGGTATATGTGATGGCATGAGATATATTATACTACTAGGGGTCTAGTGTGGATTGTAAGGGGGAACTCCCTTGCAAAAAGACATTGTGGGAACCTCCCCTATACATTAGAACAGCAGCATGGCAGAGGGAAGAAGGTGGAGTAGGTCTGGTTGGAGGCACCTTCTTTTGAATGAATCTGACCTAAACACCACACACACACACACACACACACACACACACACACACCCCATAGCAGCATGGCAGAGGGAAGAAGGTGGAGTAGGTCTGGTTGGAGGCACCTTCTTTTGAATGAATCTGACCTAAACACCACACACACACACACACACACACACACACACACACACACCACCAACTGTGCATTTCCACGGTGTTGGCAGCTGGCCCACCTGCCCCATGAAAACGCATGACACTGTGCAAAAATTTCAAGGCACCCATGAGGAAGCCAGACAGCACCCTGGTTGAGAAAGTCCGTTGGTTCATATTGTATAAGTGAACCAACCTGCCTATGAAACGTGTTGAGATCCATTCCCACTCCACCACATGCCAGAGGTTTGAAAATAATATAAAAGTCAGCAATAGAGCTATTAGTTGAGTCAAATATTCTATGTATCCTCAATAAAAAAAATGATTTTAGGAATTTGTTGTGTTTGGTACCTCCTAAGGTTGGAGCAATTGCTTTTACATGTCTGTGTGCTCCATGGAAGCAGAGAGCTGGACAAGACTTTCTTCTATTTCCCATAGATGGTGCTGTTGTCTCATGAGCAAAATCTGAACACGCACCACTTCTGCTGCTGTCATTTACCTGAATGTTAGCTCTTGGGTTTAGATTTGTCCATGTTTGTACTGATTTTCAAGGTGTGTGCTTTTATCCCATGGCAGGTTTCACTATATCCGATAGGTGGCTGGAAATATGACATTGACTAAAGGCTCCTTTACCTATTGCAGCGGTGAGGAATATCACGGAGAATGGAGAGAAGGTAATAAGTAGCAGCACCCTAGACTTCTGGTTATGGGAGAGGGTATTACGGTATGTGTCGGGGTAGGAGACATTTTTGTAACAAGTAGCAGTACTCTAGACTTTCTATCCAGGGGGTCTTACCTCCGGATTATGGGAGAGGGTATTATATCTATGTTGGGTTAGGAGTCACATTTATAATAAGTAGCAGTACTCTAGACTTTCTATCCAGGGGGTCTTACCTCCGGATTATGGGAGAGGGTATTATATCTATGTTGGGTTAGGAGTCACATTTATAATAAGTAGCAGTACTCTAGACTTTCTATCCAGGGGGTCTTACCTCCGGATTATGGGAGAGGGTATTATATCTATGTTGGGTTAGGAGTCACATTTATAATAAGTAGCAGTACTCTAGACTTTCTATCCAGAGGGTCTTACCTCCGGGTTATGGGAGAGGGTATTATGTGTCAGGGTTGGAGACACTTTTGTAATAGCAGCACCCTAGACTTCCTATCCAGTGGGTCTTGCCCTCAGGTTATGGGAGAGGGTATTATGTGTCGGGGTAGTAGACACTTTTGTAATAGGTAGCAGCACCCTAGACTTCCTATCCAGTGGGTCTTACCCTCAGGTTATGGGAGAGGGTATTATGTGTTGGAGTAGGAGATACTTTTGTCATAAGTAGCAGCACCCTAGACTTTCTATCTAGGGGGTCTCACCCTCAGGTTATGGGAGAGGGTATTGTGTGTCAGGGTAAGAGACACTTTGTAATAAGTAGCAGTACTGAGTCTAGACTTTCTATCCAGAGGGTCTTACCTCCGGGTTATGGGAGAGGGTATTATATGTTGGGCGAGGAGACACATTTATAATAAGTAGCAGCACCTTAGACTTTCTATCCAGTGGGCCTTACCTTCAGGTGATGGGAGAGGGTATTATGTGTCCGGTTGGGAGACACTTTTGTAATAGCAGCACCCTTGACTTCCTATCCAGTGGGTCTTGCCCTCACGTTATGGGAGAGGGTATTATGTGTCGGGTTAGGAGACACTTTTGTTGCAAGCTGGCACAGGTGATACAGTAACAAGTCTTACCTGTCCGAGAAATATATATACTTTTTTATGTTCCAATAATTTTATAGGATGGCAGATTAATGTTTTAGCAAAAAAAGAGAAGGAACCTTGTAGTTATTGAAAGGGTAACAATAACACCAAAATGAGTGTGACCACACATTGACTACATATTTATGACCAGATTTTCCTCACCTATACAGGTCGAAGACATGGCATGGGCCAGCTGTTATTTTCTGATGGCGTCACCTACATCGGCCAGTTTGAAAATGGGCTTTTTAATGGTTGTGGGATTTTATCCTTCCCGGATGGCTCAAGGTGAGAAAAACGAATTCAGAAAGCAGCAAAAGAGAATATTGTGTATGTGTGATGGGCCAGCTACGTTCAAAGTGTGCCTGCCCCCTGCCTACAGTGAAACTAGCTACTTTGTAGGATTAACATATATTAATGAGAATGCAACTTGTACATTGGTCCTTCTCAACCTTTATAACATGGAGGAACTCTTGAAATAACTTTCACAGAACCAGCCAGCTGGTTGAGAAAGGCTGCTGTACATTCTTTGGGATCTAGTTATCTCTGAAGGGTAAGGCAGCAGCAAAGGCCTCCTATTCCTTCTTCTTTATGGGTGATCTTGTGGCTGCCTGTAACCCATGGCTATCACAGTCTTGAAAGTCCTTAGATGACTGAAAAGGATCATCACACAAAGTTGCCGTTTCCATAACAATTGTCATTTTATAAGTCAAAGTTGTTAGTCCCTAGACGCTCTAAATTCCTGATGGACCAGTGGCATACTCTGGTATCTAAGCGTCAACCTTTCCGACAAGAGTGGCCTTGCCAGGAGCACAAGCCAGTAGACATGTGAAATTTGTTTCATTCCGAATCAAAATTTAGACGAATGTTCCGAAATTTGGACACATCCGAATTTCTGAATTCCAATACATCTGAATGAGTCTGAATCCAAATTTCCTTTTACAAATTTCGGATCCCGTCCGCATTTCGATCAAAAACAAAACTGAATCTAGCATGTGACTTTTCTGGGCAATCAGATGTGTTTTTCGGTTTAATGCAGCAGAATGGGTCTGAACCAGTGGCGTCACAAGGGGGTGCGGCCCGCATTTTTCATTACGGCAACATGGGAGCCATATACAGTATATACATATAATACTAAAGCTGACCCGAATGGCATTCTGAATCCGAATTTCCAAATCGCATTTGGGAGCTCCCGGATGCCATTCGGGTCTGGGAGCCTCAGCTTTAGTTATATATGTATATGGCTCCCAGACCCGAATATCATTCAGGACCTGAATTTTCGAATTGCATTTGGGAGCTCCCGAATGCCTTTGGGGTCTGGGAGTCATATACATATATTACTAAAGCTGAGGCTCCCAGACCCGAATGGCATCCGGAAGCTCCCAAATGCAATTCGGAAATTCGGATTCAGAATGCCATTCGGGTCTGGGAGCCTGAGCTTTAGTATTCATATCTGTATCAGGTTTTCTGTGGTATTCATAACGAATATTCCTAAACTCATCCGAAACTAACGACAATTCGGATTTCGTCTGAATCCGGAACCTGAACTGAATTAAATTTCGGATCTGAATTCCGAATTAACTGAACCAAATTTTTCCGCAGCTTACATGTCTACAAGCCAGGGTCTTCCCATAAATGTTCAGTAGAGTTACAGAGATATAAGTGAAGATCCAGCCACCCCATAATCCTCCTGTTAACGAGTTCCCTCATAAACATGGATGGCCTGTGGGTCTGAGTGTGCATGGCGATGCAATAAGCCGATACCACTGGTGCCTGACAGGCTTGCACGTGAATTTAGGTGAATGGTGTAGGTGGGGTGGGGAGTAGGTGTCCTTTAACCACAGAAATGATTGACATGTTTTGTCTATTTTATTGAAGGCTACCTGGTGGTAGTGCTGCGGTTTAATGAAGCTGAGAGCAGATCATAGATTACATAGAGAACATTTTTGCGCATGATGCCTCTATCCCATGCGGTTATTAGTTATATTATATTATTATAGGCTTGAACTTTGAACTCCATTGTAAAAACATGGCTGCATATTTGTTCTCTGTACTAAGCAGATACGAAGGGGAGTTTGTTCAAGGGAAATTCCACGGTGCTGGAGTCTTTACCCGCTATGACAGCATGAAGTATGAGGGAGAATTTAAAGGCGGTCGGGTAGAAGGATTTGGTAAGTTGACCAGTTTTTGCTTTGCTCTGAAGATTTTACCATGATTACAGATTTATATGAAACTATTGATTAACCCCTTCATGACTGAGCTAGTGCCTGATATAACTCGTCACCCGTCACGAAGGGGTTAAAACTAGGTTTTGCGTACGAGCGGTCATGTAATTGACACCTGCCAACGGCCATCTTGGTGATGGATGCCGGCAGAGAGAGGAGGGGACGTTCACCCAGCGGGATAAAGTATGGCACCGGGTCCCCTCCTCTCTCCTGACACTGTCAGGCTCTCGGTCCATGACCGAGTGCCCGACTTTTTAGAGGGGGTGACACCAAAATGACTGCAATGGTGCCACTCGGGTGCGAGCCGCACCCCCCTTGTGACGCCACTGCCTTTGCTAAGATCCTGTCCTGTATAGAGAATCTGGTGACTTACCTCTTAGCGCTCCTTCTGTTAAAGCCTATTATCACTATGTGCTGATCCCATTGACTGAGAAGATGTTCTTCTACACTTAAGTGAACTTATCAGCCATTTATCAGCAAACTATCCGCTATGGCGAAGGCACCATGAAGTATCTGCTGTTACCAGAGAAGGCTGTTTTGTACATGCCTGGCTTACTGACATTCCCCCTGCCCAAAAAGAGTAGTTCCGTCTCCGCTAAGCGTGCTGTCACTGGATAAAGAAGTGGTGGGTCGGTGGGATTTAGCTCGTCAGGCCATGAAACCAAGACCTTAGGCAAGGCTTCTAGTTTTTAGAGTGATCCTGTGCTTTTCCCCATGTAGGTCCACTTTAGCCCCAATCAGGGTAAAGTCCATGAACCCAACGTACTCGAAACCGCTGTTCCAGAAATAATGAGGGGGGGTGCTGCGGCTGTCGACGGTTGGCAATCGTGGTCAATATCAAACGAAATATATAGACACTCCAATGGCAAGTCAAATATGTCTGTTTATTGACGTATGAGCAGCATAATGGGATATACTCAATGCAACGTTTCCGGGTCTCGCAGGATCCCCTTCATGGACCCTTCAGGACTTCGCAGAACAAGTTGTTCTGCGAGTCCCCAAAACGTCGCATTGAGTGTATCACATCAGGGGCGTCCCAAGGCCGGGTGACACCCCGCCGTGACTTAATCGAGCATGCGCGTGACATCACCACAAGCGTGTGCACGATGACATCATTGCGCATGCCTGGTCATCTAATTGACGCCTGTCGGCGGCCATCTTGGTTATAGATGCTGGCAGAGAGAGGAGGGGATGTTCACCCGGCGGGATGAGATATGCCGTCAGGTCCCCTCCTCTCTCCTGACACTGTCGGGCTCTCGGTCCATGACCAAGTGCCCGACTTTTTAGAGGTGTCACCAAAATGACTGTCAGTCATTTTGGTGTCACCCCT